GCGTCTCACGATTCGACACAGGATTGATTACCATACGCTGTTACCGGTCGAGAGAGTGCAGTATATTATTATTACATACGATGTCGGAGTGAGCGTTTTGAGTAAAAAGTAGTAAAATATCGAGTAAACAAGTTAGGAAAGCGAACGATTTCGTTTAATGCAATGAAATAAAATATAATTCCATATTATACAATATTTAAAAAATAATTCATCACATTATTTCGGTAGGTTACACCGAGTAGTGTACCAGTAGTACGACACTACGACAGTACCTATACTTTGATTAATACCGTTATAAAATCTGAATATAAACAATCGTAACCATGACGTACAGTAACTTCGGACAATAATATTAAAAAACAAATATCTTAACAATCGTACCTACTGGCAACTATAACGAACGGACGATCATATCAGGAAACATAAGGCGTTCGAAAATTATGTTTAGAAACCTAAAAGCTGTATTATATCTCGTAACACACGACTTGTATACGTACTTAAATATGTCTTATTATTATCACGTACTCGTACCCAATTATTATATTATAGTGGACGGGATCGAAGAAAATATGCTTATAAAATGCGTCTATATATATTGTATATCTATACATAACAATATTATTATGTAGTTTCGTCCGTGCGGCAAGCGGTGCATCTCGTTTTCCGGTACCCCAACTGTTGCCCACCCATTGCCACTCGTGTATGCCTATAATGGTGAAACATCTCACCTACCCGTCTGATATAACCTATATGTACATAGGTAATGTAATACAATGTATAGTATTAGATACGTATTTAATACAACCGGAGCGTAACACTCGGTTCGTCGGCCGGAAAACCGGTCGAGATCGGTGTTGACGACTGTTGTATAGTTATAGGTATTAGGTACTCGTAAGTAGGTATATAATATAATACGTACGCACGTGGAGTCTATAACGTCTTCACTGGCCGCTGCGGCAGTCGTTATGTGTCCACGGGCGACGGACGTAATATAACCGCCGCCGCCTCGCTCTGACGTAACGCCAAGCCGATATCCATATATGATAATAATAATAATAATACCACAAGAGTCATTCTTACATAATAGTATATGTATAATATTTATACTGCATTCGTCCGAGGAAGTAAAATTCCTCTCGTGGTAGTAATGGTAAGTATATATTATGATAATATTATATGCGGTAAAAGTGTGGTCTGGGCGCGTGTGTGGTACCTACCTGTTGCTGCGGCGTTCGAGCGACGCATCGCAATACGACTAAAACCCAGGCATACGTCCTACATCGTAATAATAATATTATGTACAAGTGACATTTTATATGTACGGCGGCGTGTCTTCGCGCGTTATTGTTTTCCTACTCCGGGAGTTCCGCAGCGACCTTGATCGGGAGTAGGCCAAAACCTAATCCCAAAACCGTCGTGGCGCAATGTCGTACCTACTCACACGGCACACACACACACACATATGTAGTAGTTTAGTAAATTATATACCGATAATCCGTATTATATATTTATAGTATTTATACACACATAGGTATTGTTTTATACAATATACGAAATTCTATATAATATTATTATGATTTTCACCGATCTAAATTGGTTGAAGTGAAAGAATAAAAAAAATATATGTAAACAACAAACCACGTCGAGTGTCATTTGGTTCGGTAATATATGCTTTATAATGTTATACGTAATATTATTATTATTATTAAAAAACACGGGCGTACGTGCGCCCGGGGCTAGTGTGCACGTTGTCGGTGAAGTAGTGCGGTCGTATAAGTATATATTTTATTCTTCGGAAGTCTTGAGTGTGTGTTAAATAGAGAAAGATAGATAACGAGAGAGGGAGAGAGCCAGTGCCAGTGGCTGACTGGGTACGGCAGCCTTGATCGGAATCGGCCACTCGAACATCTCGAGGTGTACAACGCGACTTATCATTATCGCAGAGCGTTTTATTAGGTACTATTATTATAATAATATACAAATAATAATAATAATAGTAATAACATAGCGTACCTGACGGGCTCGTCATAATTGTTGAAAATTTCACGCCCGTCAGACGAATCGCGTATGCACATTATCTCGTCATAACGTTTTGGAATCGATCGTCCTCGATTGTCGCGCAGGTAATCGAACTTCCGTCGCCTGCCGTCCGGACGACCGAAAACATAACAATATAATAAAGAACCCAAGCGTACGCGTGACAATAAAAAAAAAAAACGTGTAGATACATAAACGATTATAATTTATTATATAGTTTATTACAATATGTAGTATATTATATATTTACTTTTGTCCTGCCGGTTGACACGACGAGCGTCGCTTGTAATATTTTATTATTATTTTGCAGTGGCGTTTATTCGGTTCGCGCGCGGATATTATATGCGCTTATCGGGTCGAGACGATGTTATCATCATTATTATACCTGCAGTGCAGCACCAGCAACAGGCTGCAGTCGTACACCGCGATAACAGCTGTATATTTTTATAATCGTCGCGTCGGCGTTTTTTTTTTCGCACCCGTCACGACGCCGACTGCAGCTACTTGTGACATTCTATAATATAGGTACTGTAATAATAATATTATACACATTATCTATTATTATTGTTATAATATTATTGGCATCACGCTCCGCGGACGTCGTTCGAAGATTTACCTTCCGCCACCACCGGTATACTCGACTCGACGTTTTTACTCGCGTATACGCTTATTAACGTCGTCCTCGAAACGGTCCGAGATATATTAAAATATATTATACGATAATAATATTATAATTAAATAACGGTTGATTCGGTTCTTTTTTTCGTGAACGCTCGCAGTCGCCGTCCGTCCGCCGAACCGTTGGCTTCGAGTCGGTCTGCAGACGACACGTCTCTCCGGCTCCGACTCGCGGGCGTTTACGAATAAAACGGTAATAATGTTATACCTAAATAACATAGTGTGGGTGTAAAACGTGGTTTTCGGTATCATTTTTACGGTCATCGGGCCAGTCGCAGACACGTCGTGGAGCTGCGCCACACTGTCTATATATACCACTTCGAGATAGTAATAATATTTTAGTAGCATTTTATTTCAACGCTCCATATTGATCCGTCGTCTTGTATCATAATATATTGGAGCAATTACCTTTCGTGTTCATCAGAATAATTTTTTTTCACCTACTTCATATTTTCACGCGCACTCAAGCGCATTCCATTCATATATATTATATTATGCTGTAATATTATTAATTATCTATTATATTATATGTCTACGACGACTGCAGTGCCGTCCGACTGAGAACCACTGCCCTACAGGTTCAACCCCTTTTCGTCTGATAATTTACGGTCGTCGCGGGATGTTGTCTGTGCCTGTACACATCACGATCAAATATAATCTCGTCGGGTTTTTTTTTTTTGCTCATCGGCTATGAGGTTGAAAAGTGAAGTAAAAAAAAATACTGCTTCTACTAATAATAATAAAATCTCCTCTCACACTATAGGTATTATCTATATAGGTAGTGAATAATAATATATATAAAAACGAGGTTTGTTCACGTCAAACGGTATCTCAGAGGGAAAAAAAAACCTTAAAAACAGGTATAATACTCAGGCTGTACACTTCCTGCCGAAGTATTTTCTTATTATTAGTTCGCTTCGAATATTATTCGTTTATTATTATTCAGTGGTCCGATCTCGTTCACGTGCACTGCCGGAGCAGTCGTTATTTTTTTACGACGTCTCAGACCGAACGCTAAGACGCGCGTGCTCGAGGTAAACTTTGTTATAATATTAATTAATAATAATTTTACGGTGTCCGTGTGTGTATTTTTCTTTATACTCAATTTATATTTTGTTGGCTTTTTATTGCGCGATGGCACCACGACGTCTACTATAGACGTCAAGATATAGAACACTCCATATTATTAATATTAACGTGTATCGATTATTGTTTGTTCAATAGGTCAAATCTATTATATTAGCCGTCTATTATATTTAAACTTAAGTCTATATTTATAACTATATTTTCCATGTATTTTATTTCATTATTATCACTTCATGTTAATCTACTAATTGTACAATGTATCTATAAATTGCCGTTTGGCGTTAAATAAATAAATAAATAAATAAATAAATATTGGCGTCTACCCGAATATCTTATGAATGATTTTTTTTTTCATTGTTATACGCCTGCAGTGCGCCAATTCATTAAGAAGAAAATCTTGTATTCGTGTATACACGCTATACGAATATTATTATCAAACTGTACCTATAGTTATTTTAAAACAGAACATGGTATAGGTATCACAAAATAATATATCGTATTTCGATTTGTCTGGAATTTCGATTTTATTCCTTTTCACATTCAACAAGTTTGGCATGCATAACGAGTAACACATTTGAGCGCTAGTGAATTCAAATTAACATAATATTATACTACCAGCTGTCTAGTTATGTTTAGGTATTGTAAAACGTTTTTTTTTAAAAATACAATTATTATCAAGTTCATAGAAATAAACCCATATTATGTTCTGTCAATAGTTCACTTGTTGTTCGTTTTGAAAAAAATATGAAGTATTCTTTTTACTGTTTAGCCGCGTCGATTTTTATTGGACATAATAATATAACCTACCAAATATCTAAAAAATCTTATCTCGTGCAACTAATATAAAAAGTTTTATAATATTTACACGTTTAGTTAGGTAGGTACTCTGTACTTTGTTCAAATAAAATGGCATGGACAAAAACGAAAAAAAAAATTCGCGTTAAATAATAATTGGAAAGGTAGTAAAACATAGTAACAAATAAACGCAAAGCTTTGAATTGCATCTCATTAAATATAGATATACACGGTTATCTGTGGTTAGATTACTACAAAACCAAAAAGTAAAATAAGCATTCTTATGTTATTATATTTATATATTACCTAATTAATAACAATTATTATACCATACTACGTGTTTACTGATTTCGATCGTTATTTTTGTTTTCTTCTTCAGACCAACTGCCTCCGAAAGAGTAGTGATGTGGAAAGACTTCAAGAAGTTAAAACTTCTGCTATGGAAGAATCTACTGATACAGAAGCGACATCCCATCCAGTCGTTCATAGAGCTACTGTTACCGGCCATCATGGCGGCCATAATGGTCATGTTCAGGTCGTGGGTGCAGCCCGTCGAGTTCAACACCGTCACAAGATTCGAACCCTTTCCGATATCGGTGCCACCGTTAATACTGGGCTACAGACACGGGTAAGTCGTTTGGTCTATTTTTTAGTAGTTCTGATGGGGGGGGGGAGTTCCCAATTGGTAAGTTTTCTAGGACATAGGATTATAGCTGATTAATTTTTCACTATACGTCTCTAATCTAATTTATTTGTTTATTTCATCTTTAAAGTCATTGTGTATAGTGATATTAAACTAAATAAAAAAATAATTACAGTTATAGGTTAAATATTACATAAATATGATTCCAACTTGATGTATTATTTTTTTTATTAATTTAACTGGAATAAGCCAAGTTATTACAATGGATACTTTAACCAGTTAAGTTAAAAATTAAAAAAAAAAAATAACTCTAACTTGTTTCCTAGCCAATACCTTGACGTGGTTGTAAGTCCCTACACTAGACATGTAATATTATATGCTTGTACTATAATATTTATCGTAGTAGAGGCAAACAGTGAAGTACGTACATTTCAACGAAAATAGAAAAAAATGGATTCGTCAGTTCTCATACGAACGAATTTACTTACCACTTTAACCCGCAGAATTGTTACTTGTTATATCATGTAGTTGATGTGGTTAAAATTCGTGAGTGTTTTACTGTTATGTGTTGCTGTTAACGTCTATCTCAATATTATTATAGTTAAACGATTACAACTGACGTAAATTTCATTATCCCGCTACTATATATAATGTACATCTCAAAAACTTAACATAATCGAATATCAAAAAATTTTATTTAGATTAAAATCAATTATTTTATCACATGATTGACCTTTGATAAACCTACTCGTATTATGGGCGATTTATTCCTAGCTATTGTCTTGTGTAGGAACTTAACATCTACCATCAGCACAAATCCTTCCCCTGACCCCTCCCATCCATTGGGACTGTGAAAAATGCGACGTCGACCTCCTGGCGTGTCATTCGCCGCGTTTCGCAATAATAATAAATAAATAATAATAATTCCGTCAAACGCCAAAGGCGATAGAAAAAAAGCGGAATGCTACAATAGGAGTTCGGTAATACCTACGAGGAAATGAAATTCGAAGTGATGACTGAATGTATTAGCGTCTCGATGGTGAAAATCAAACTGTGAACACAAATAATACTTTATATTATTAATAATAATAATATTAATAATGGTGTTGTTGATTTATTCACCGTCAATATGATGATGCCTCTAATGAATAATCCACAATACCCTTGAACACAAATATTAATTTTATCATCGCACATACAAAATTTGTACAAGGTAGCTGTGGTACCGTAAATAATAGACGATTCGTTTTATGAGAAAAACATGTTGTAATTGTTGTTTTAGATGGTCCATAGCATGGGCTCCGTATGACCCGGAATTGGAAAAAATCATGAACGACGCTTTCTCGCACACTCCCAACATGAAGCGTAAGTTGTCCGGTACGAAGTCCTAAATGAAATAACGGAATAAAATGTATTTTTTTTTTGTTTTCAGTCGAATCGTTTGTAAGCGGCGATAAGATGGAGGAGCGACTGAATCAAGATCTCGCTATGAAAAAATTTCTGGTGGGCGTTCGTTTCGAAAACATCATGCCGAACTCGACGTTACCAAAAAGTACAATCGTGAGTTCAGTATAAACCGTCCTCCGCGTTTACATACTTTATACCTCATAATATCGTATTATGTAGATATATTATGCGATAGATATACGGATTCGGAGATAATATGACTCTCTTGTTTGTTTTTTGTTTTGTCCTGCACAGGTGAAGCTAAGATATCCGTGTCATCTCCGGGTAACGAAAAAGAGTCTGATGAGCTTCGACACGGTCGAAGCAAACTGGCGGACTTACTTGATGTTTCCTCTGTATCAGACGTTCGGTCCTAGGCACAAAGAGGAAAACGACGGAGGCGAACCAGGTATATATCCATGACCACTCGGCAGTGTCACAAGAGTTCGCAACACGCGTGCGCGCAGACGATCGTCGCAAATACGTGATATTAAGACGGTTTTTACGTGTCTAGGTTATTTGTCCGAATCGTTTTTGTACATGCAAAATCAGATCTCCAAAGCCTTGATACGATACTGGGCTCCCGGCGAGACGATACCGGAAATCGAGCTACAGAGGTTCCCGTATCCGAAGTACATCGAGGATCCATTGCTACCGGCCCTCACGTCGTTCATATCCACAGTAGTGTTGCTCAGTTACATTTACACCGCCATCAACACCATCAAAGTGATATCGGCTGAAAAAGAAATGAAAATGAAGGTGAGTAAACGGATGACAGGATAACGGATGATTTTAGAGTGGAACCCAGACGGGTCTCCGGAACCGAAGATCAGTTTCTAACGTTTCCATCGGTCATCTAACCGACGTTATGGGTATACGGTACAAACAATTATGAGCTCGGTAGCGAATTTCAGAGCCCCCCCCTCTAACCCCATTCCTATCAATGAGTGTATTATAATATCTTTGGGATGCATGTACCACTCAGTCATATTGTAAGATATTTTTTCAGTTAAAATAATTAATATTATGCTAACCTACACTGTAGTTTAGAATTGAAACCTCTGGGGGCAACCAGCTTAGGGGTCCATCCAATGCATATCACTGCAAGTTCCTAACGAGTTCACCCATATGAACGACCCGAAGACTTGGCGATTTTTTTCGTCAACCTTAGGTTTCTGTATAATAATACTTTGAGCTGTTTTTTGTTTTTTAGGAAGCCATGATGCTCATGGGCTTGGATAACTGGTTGCACGCGTGCGCATGGTACCTGAAGAGTTTTGTTGTATGGATTGTACCTCTGTTGATATTGGTGTTTTTCATAACGTACGACTGGCCAACGGGTGCGGTGTTTCAGTACTCCGACCCTCTGGTACTAATGGCGATATTGACCCTGTACGTAACCGCCGGAATATCCTATTGCTTCTTGATATCCGCCTGCTTTAAAAAAGGTAAGACCCGGTGACGAGCTAAAGGCTCCACGCCTATATGTGTATGTAATATTGTGATTATGTTATGGGATTTTTATAAAAGTATGTCTCGACAACACTGTAGTGCTATCCAGGGACTTAAGGGATCTGCATATTTACACTGTACACTTATCCAAAGCCCTAATATAGTTAGGTACCTACCTAATTTACATTATAAAAACGTGTTTCGTAATAGGTACTTACTAAATATAATGTGATGAACCAAGCATAAATATTATGATAATATATGATTATCTTTCGGATTTCACTCTTTATCATTCATAAGTGCGTATTTTGAATACAATTTAATAACCATCCTATTATAATTAAATCTTTAAAACCATAAAATTGATCTACAAAATATATCATAAATCATAATAGACACCATGGATTTATATGGTATAGTACCTATATAAGCTAATAATTAATTATGCACCGTTAATATTTATGTAAATATCTGTTACAACTGTTACTGCACAATATTCATCCCAATATAGAATATTATGATTAATAAAACGTACATTAAAGGTTATGGTTACAAATCTACCTATCTATCTCTTATTTTTTAAACATTTTGATTTTTATTGAAACAAAAATATACCTATATAATATTATCGAACATATTTAAGTGATTTTGCATATTTTTTAGAGCCCATTTAGTAATTTATAAGGACATAATATTAATATGCATATTTTAACGTTTTTTTTTAAAAATATTATGACCCCAGCCCCAATCATACAAATAACGCATGTGACAATCGTCGTCGAGTATATCATAATATAACCGTTCGTAAACAAAATAACAATTACGTTTCATTAACATATCGTCAAGGTGTATCACGTCGTATCTAATATATAATACGTATATAAAAAAAATATATAATATTAATAATTACATTATATGCACATACAATTTACGTATAATTATATAATATATATACATACATGCACACATAACATATTTTAACATGTATTAAATATTTAGACCTTCAAATTCACTCCCGCCGAGCATATTATGTCTGTGAACTTGTTTGTTTGTGTGTGTGTGTGTGTACTTGTAGGTGAATAATTAAAGCTGAATTTATCGAATTTCATTGTATACAATTTTTTTTTTCGTTCCAGCCAACACAGCGGCGACTGTCGGCGGCGTGTTGTGGTTCGGGACCTATGCCCCATTCATGATCTTCCAGCCCAAATACTCGTCCATGACCAACAGAGAAATCCTGGCGTCCACCATATTGCCAAACACTGCGCTGGGATACATATTCCAGAGTCTCATCATGTTCGAAGGTATCGGCAGCGGACTGACGTGGGAAAACATCACGGTGACGGTGTCGCCGGACGACAAGATGTGCATCGCGGACATAATGCTGATGTTGGTGTTCGACTCGGTCCTGTACCTGTTGATCGCCGTATACCTGGAAACAGCTTTCCCGCGCAACAGCGGTTTCCACCCTCCGTGGTACTTCCCGATACTGGTGAGTCTCATCCGGCCATTTTCATACTCTTTCGACTCATTTTCCGTCGAATCCGGTCACTGTTTCGGTCACACACAATACAATATAATATTATTATGATGATCGTTGACATTTTCTTTTATGTTACAGCCGTCGTTCTGGTTCGAGAAAAAAGTCAGCCCCAAACAAATCGCCGAAAAATCTGGCATACATATCCAATCGCTCAGCAAGAGTTTCACGCCCGGAAAGTACGTCGTCAACAAGCTGTCCGTGGATATGCAACCGAATCAAATAACCGTTTTGCTGGGCCACAACGGCGCCGGAAAATCCACCACCATGTCCATGTTGACAGGACTGATAAGTCCAACGTCTGGTACGGCGCTGATAGAGGGTTACGATATTAAAACCCACATGAAAACTATACGACACTCATTGGGGCTCTGCCCTCAATACAATCTACTCATACCGGACTTGACCGTAGGAGAGCATTTGTACTTTTTCGGAATGGTTAGTATACCGTGCTCGATTTTAGTGATACTACTATATTGCATTAAACGAGAATATAACAATACATTATTAAATTAATTGTATTCGTTAAATTATTTTCACCCACTGAGGGGCAATGGATATAGTTAAATATAAACATAATGTATACACACATTACATATAATATGATCGCTATTTGTATCCGTGTTTTTCAGTTGAAGGATTTGAATGAGCAGGATTTGAAAAGCGAAATCGACAGTTACACGGTTAAATTCGAACTAGAGTCGATGATCAACACGAAGTCCAAACATCTGAGCGGAGGAATGAAGAGAAAACTGTCGGTGGCCATAGCGTTAATTGGCAAATCGAAGGTACGCACACGCCTTGCGGTTAACTTTGCGGTTTTCGTCCGTTAACCATTTGTCAGACATAATTATTAATCGATCCTGTCGTTCGCGCGTAGGTGGTGTTGATGGACGAACCGACGTCGGGTATGGACCCGGCGGCCAGACGTACTCTGTGGAATATTTTGCAATCGGAACGGGAAGGAAGAACAATGGTGATGACAACGCATTTAATGGACGAAGCGGATCTGCTAGGCGACCGTGTCGCCATTATGAAAGCAGGCACTCTTTGTTGTGTCGGAACACCATTTTCATTGAAAAAAGAATATGGTAAGAATATTATACAAATTATGTTAATATATTATTGTTTGTAAAAAAAAAATTTAGAGGTGATTTCAGCGTTCTTAAATTTGATTTTAATTAATTTCATAATCAGATGTCACACCCTTGAGTATGAAATAATATAACGAATAATTTTGACTCTACACACATCTACCGGTACACATTGTTCTTTTATTGATAATTTAAAATACTCCACTTCTATGCGATACTAAGTACAGTGGTTTAAATTAATTTCCATTTTTTTTTTAATTTTCGTTAGCTACTTTTGTCAATAACACAGCTCAATATTAATCAAGAACTGACAAAATACGCATACAAATATTTTTTAATTGACTATTGTTTTTAAATATAATATACTTTAATGCCGGTTTTTATTTTTTAGGTGGTGGTTACACTTTAACCCTGGTAAAAGATGTAATCGGTTTCAGTTTGACTAAAGTGACAAATTTCGTACGTAAATATTACCCTCATTCGGTGCCAAGTAACATGACCGTCATGGAAGTCACGTATCAGCTAGAGGACTCGTCGTTGTTCCCAGATCTGCTCAACTCATTGGAGCAATCCAAACAGACATTGGGGATTAAGGAATACGGAATAACTTTGACTACGTTGCAGGACGTGTTCATGAGGTATGTGGGCGAAGCACGTGAGTAAAGAAACAGATTATATTTTAATACGCGTTTTTTGTCATCATTGCAGAGTCGGTCAAGAAGACAACAAGAAGTTATCGGATTATCAGATGAACGCCATCAAACATAAATCAATGGAACTGAAGAACCGTTTTGACACGTTGTTCTACGACCCCGAGTGTGACTCTGCCGATTATAAATCTGAAAGTAAGGATTTACGACAGACAAAGAGATTGATGTAAATTTTGTGGGACTCTGATAATAATACTGTTGTTTGTTTAGGGGCCAGGGGATGGAAATTGTTCTGGATCCAATGCGGGGCGATCATGGAAAAGAAATGCTTGCAGTCATACCGTTCTCTGATATTGCATTCGTTACAAATAACGCTAACGATGTTTTTCATATTCTTGGCACTTTTGGTCGTCAACGCCTGGCAGGGAATGAAAGACTTGCCGGCTCTGGCAGCTGAACTAGCGGTAAGTGACAGCGACCGTCGACCGACAATTTTGATGTTTGTGTTTCCGATGAAATTAATTTTTTTTCTTTCATCCAGAACTACTGGGAACCCATCAGTACGGTCATGCTGTCCACCAACAACACGCAGATCGGCACTTTTTACGAGTCATACAAGAATGCCTGTGCGCCCAACCCGGTCTTGGATTTAAATTACCGTACCACGTACAGTTATTTCGAAGACTTTTTACTGCGAGTGGTGAGTTTTTTTCTCCCTCGGATAATAAGAATAATAATATGTACTTACCTGGTTATGCGATGACCACGTGTGAGCACCGCGAAAGATAATAAATACAAAATATTATAGTCGGTTCATATCAACCGAAAATAACGTATGTAATTTATTATTATACCATTGATGTCCATCCGCAGGCCTCCGAAAAGATATCGCCGTTCACACAGAAGTACATTGTCGGCGCGATATTCGGCGAGGACAGGATCACGGCGTATTTCAACAATCAACCTTACCACGGTCCACCTTTGGCGCTCAGCATGGTACACAACGCTATATTGAAAAGTTACAAAGGAGACGAATACGGGATACTCGTAGTGAATCATCCTCTGCCCTACCAAGGAGTGGACAAGGTGAGAAATTGTTGATTTCGATATAATACAATATCATACGGACGAACTATTATATTATTATCGTTTTCGTGGCCCGAAACTGTAAATGGCAGCCAATATTCTCGAAAAGAGAATATTTCAATTCGGACACAGACTTCGGCAAAAATATCGTTTAATATTTTTTATCGTTCTATTTGTTTAAATTTCTTTACTTTTTGAGTGACATTACGGGTTTTTAACTAAAAAATCCCATACAGAACATTATTTTTCTGAGAGTATAGTCGTAAGTGTTTTGTATTGGATCACGCGATTGTCGGGCATAATAAAATACCAAATGAATCTAATACTTTATTTTAAACTAACGTTAACCGTAACGCAATCGTTTCTGTTTGTCTCCACAGCTGATGAAATTAACCGGAGGCAGTAATCTGGGCTATCAGGTGGCGTTCAACTGCGCCATTTCACAAGCGTTCGTGTGCGCTGTGTACGTGCTGTTCGCCGTCAATGAGCGATATACCGGCGCCAAGCACATGCAACAGATAGCCGGCGTCAAACCACTGGCCTACTGGGGAGCGTCTCTACTGTGGGACTGGATAACTTACCTGACCGTCATATTCTCCATTCTGCTGTTGCTCTTCTGGCACGGAGATCCGGGATACGCGAGCTGGAAACAAATGGGTCGGTATAATATGATAATATTATAGCCGCAACACGTTATCACAGTGTTTAAAATGATATTATGTATCAAGAGGACGGACGTCATGATAACCCGACCGAATTGATTTCGGCGTTTGAACTCGAATAATATTAACAATATACTAACGCGCGTAGACGACACTGAGTAATTTTGATTTTTCTCGATGCGATTTCACTACATTACTTAGTACCTACACCTACCTACAATTACGAGAATAGGAACATAATACAGATACGGTTGTACGGGTATCGTATACGTCCTCTTGACTGCAGAAGTATTATAATAATACTATGGTTGTGAGTCGCTGTTTTTGTCGGTGACAATTTTTTTTATTTTTCATCAACTCGTTACTATTGATATTTATTTTGATTCCATTGCAGGACTGATGCTGAGTCTGTTGGTGGCTTTCTCGTGGGCGACGATGCCGTTGATGAGTTTGTTCTCATACCTGTTCACAAACCCGTCCACTAGTTTCACGAGAATATCCATGTTTAGCGTTATGACCGGTAAGGAGACAAAAAAATATTATTATTATATTATATTATTAATGTTTTTATCATTACACACTATGGCTTTTGGGTTGACCATTTTTAGAATAATAATATGCAGGACTAAAAATGTTCACTATGCCCTCCTGAACCCACCCTGTAAATATTATTTCCACAAGCTGTATCTAAAATGATTTGAATAATAGAAGAAAAATTGAAACCATAATATACACTATAGAGTTTAGTGATGTAACAAACTGTTAGATTCCCGAACGATCCTAAGTAGATTATTAACAAATTTAAAATCAAGTCAATAAATTTAACAATAATAATTTGAACTGAATTTGTTGAAGTACGATGAAAAAATAAAAAATAATTTATTTTAATACAGTTCATATTATTTAGGTACCTATGTAAAGTTTTTTTCCCTTCATTTTTTTTTCTATATATTATTAATTAATAAAATTATAATTCACATAATATGTTGTTCAAGAGACAATATTAATATTCTTCACACAATCAGTTAAAAACTGGTATTTTTATATGATAATAATATTATGTAATATTTAAAAAAAAAAAAAAATGAAAATACTATTAAAATTTAAAATTTATCATTTTAAAGTATCATATTTAGTTTTTTTTTAAATAAGAGTTTGTAACATGATACTTACTATGAAATAATATATAATATATTTATGTATAATAAAATATAAATTATTATGCATGTGGACATGTTCCGATCGATCAATGGCTCTATTTACAATATAATATTATACTATTCACTCGTCGCGTGTGTCTTATCATACAGGTGCCTTTTGCTTCATGTTGGTGCTTATTTTGGACATGCAACCACTGTGCTTGAAAGACCAAGCCAAGTTTATCGACAACATGATGATTTACTTTCCACATTACGCTCTCGGAAGTGGTTTGAAAAACATATACTCTTCGTATGAGTACAGCGAGATTTGCGACTTCCAAAAGAACGGTAAGTCACGTGGTAATTGTGGATGATGAAAAAATTATCGATAAATAAATATACTTATATTAATTATGAGATCGCAGTGAACAACGCTGAATGCCTACGTCTACTCTGAAGTGTACTTAAATTAGACACATTCGGACATTCCATGTCAACCTTCGTCCCTCGCAGTATGCCGCGATCCAATAAAACATTTTAAATAATTTCTTCCTTTTCATTTTCATCACGAACGAATGATTTAACTACTGAAATTCTAGCAACCTGTTTTGGATGGGACGGTGACAATCTTTCGTGGACCAGCCCCGGCATCGGTAGAAACATGACCCACCTATTCTGGTTAGGATTCGTGTGTGTGGCGTTACTGCTGTCATGTGAATACCTCACGTATTACGGCAACAAGGTCCACTGCACGCTGATGAAGCTCTACAGCCACGTGATGCTCAAGAACTCCGTCAAGGAAGACAAGTACGACTTGAACTGTTACGAATCGGACGTGGCCCACGAGAAGCAAGTGGTCAACGGCGCCGACCCACACAACTATTGTCTATACCTCAAGTGAGTGGATTTTTAAGTGCACTACTTAAATCATCGTGACCCCCCTAACCGTAAACTTATCGATGGCTTTATAAGTACACCAAACATGATGGTACTTGCGCTGTATCCAGCCTGCTAAAGAGGCTTTAATTTTTCAAACTTATTAGTCTTAGACGCCTCCAATATACACCCTTGTAATATTATAATATGTATAATTTTATATTGATACTTACGACTAAATTCTCGTGACGATTACTTATAGTGATATTAATACTCCACCAAGTGCCTACCCATTGTTGGTAGGTATACAATCAACTAATGGAATGCAAAGTAAAGGACTACATTTAGGAAAATTCGTTTTGAGCGTAATATATTATTTTTGCCCGATTTTGACACGATTGTTTTTCAAATATTACTCGAGATATTCACTAACACGATAATTATAGTTTGGAGCAGTATCGGAACTAGTGTCTTAGTAGTTTTCATCTGGCGTGACGACCTATAATTTTTTTTTTTACTTTCAATAACGCTTTCGTCATTGCTCCTCGTTTCGCAGCAACGTCTGGAAGAAGTACGGTAACAAGGAAGCGGTGAGGGGACTGAACCTGGCGCTTAAGTCCAACGAGTGTTTCGGTCTGCTGGGGTCGAACGGTGCTGGCAAGACGACCACGTTTAAGATGCTGACGGGTGACATAAAGAACACCGCCGGTGACATTTACGTGTGCGGAGTGAACGTGAACAACAACCGCGAGAAGATCCACGAGGTAGGCGGCTACTGTCCACAGTTCAACGGTCTCATCGAAGAGCTCACAGGCTACGAGACGCTCCATTTCTTCTGCAAGCTCAGGGGCATGTCCAACAAGGAATCGTCCACGGTGCCGTTCCACCTAGCCTCTAGGCTGGCGTTCATGGCTTACTTGAACGTGCAAGCGAAAAACTACAGGTCAGTTCGTTTACATTATATAATATCGTGATATCACTTGTTGTATTTTCACGTAGTTTTAGCTTTACACGTTTAACGCACGACACACGTAATTTCAGAAAACAATAACGTTTTTAAAAATATTTTTTTACACAATATATTCAAAATTCAAAGTCGTTACAATACAATATTTTTCACTATTTTTTCCAGTTATAATTGTTTAAGTTGTGTACTCTTTTGAATGACGACATAAGTTGTGATTCCTGTGAAGAATATTATTAGGAGTATTTTCATCATAAAAATCCGATTTTTTGACAAGTACCTAGTATAATATATATAATATTAGTGTTTAAAATTTAGACTAGAGAAGTAGAGGATCAATATTTTGCGGAGTACCCTTGTACCACTCCGCACCTCTCATCGAAACGTTAAATACTTAATACCCTTACTTATAATACTTACAGCTGCGTACAGCTGTGAGTAGGTAATCAACAAAACACACAAACGATGAATTATATTTTTGTAAAAAAAAATTAACGTTACTTATAAATTGGTATACTCTGTTTAAGATATTCACGTTTAATCGAATCGATTTTAATCTCGAATTTGTGGTGTTTGTTTTGGTGCTTATAGTGGTGGAAACAAGAGGAAACTCAGCACAGCCATAGCTATGATCGGTGACCCGAGCGTCCTGTTCTTGGACGAGCCAACTTCCGGCCTGGACCCCGCCGCCCGGAAACACCTCTGGGACACGGTGAGCGAGGAGAGGGATCGCGGAAAATGCGTTTTCATCACATCTCACAGGTATTATAATTATCATGACCTAACAATACTGTCAGAGATTGTTATTGATTTTATTGGGTAGCCATTATATCAGATCGATAAATAATAGTAATACTATTGAAGTGGGTACGCACAATGGTTTATATGTTTATATATTATTATGTATTGGGACATAAAATAAAAATTATGCGTTACCGTTAAAAAATTAACTATTAAAACACTTTAAAATGACAAAAAAAATTTAAATTTGTACAGTGTGTAAGTGCACTGTAGTCGTACCTACTTATTTTTATTATTTCTATAGTTTCTAGAAGAAAAATTTAAATCTCGCTTATTGTGAATTTGTATTGTTATAATATTTTATACATTTATTACATATTAGCATGGCGTCGAATAAAATATAATTAACAACATATTATTATTCTTTTCAATAGTCTCGAGGAATGCGAAGCCCTGTGCAGTCGTCTGGCTATCATGGTGGACGGCCGCCTATGCTGCATCGGGTCTGTGCAGCATCTGAAAAACAAATTCTCTGTCGGCTATCAGCTGCACATAAAATTCCACCCTGACAACTATACGAGAGCTAAAGATTACGTGATGAAATCGTTCGTCGGTAAGTGTGCTAAATATAATATGATGTAAGCAATAATAATTATATTATGCTATCGCTCCACGATGGGCTGTACAATAATAACAATAATATTAAAATTACCTTTGCCGATTTTTGTGTTCGTCATAAGTTATGAAGGTAACTATCATAACATAATGGTTGCTAATAATGTTTATTGTTGTATGTTTTTAATAATTAATACTATATCACTCTTATTTTTCACAACATTACTGTGAATTATTAATTTTTTTTAAAGACCATCTATATTTTACTTAAATGATCAGAAGTGGAATATTTTTCTAAATGTTAGATGCAAAATAATTATTTCGAATCACGTGAAGTGTAGTAAATTTGTTTAATAAATCATAAAATATTCCCATTTACCAATAGATATTATATTATTCAATTTTCATGCAATCCACCCCGAAATCCAGTAAACGACCACGTTATTCATATTATTTAGATATCCGAGTATGTAGATACATAATATAAAATAATTAAAAATATTAATCATACAAAAATCTCGTTCGGCTAACGATCTTCATAGTTTAGTCAACGCCGTGTTACAAAGATACAGCTCGTCTCACGTTTTCATTCTCGTAAGATTATATTGTTATTATTATTAAATGTCTGTTATTATCTAAATAATAATAATATGAGAGTAAATACAAAATTTGAATTCTCTCTGTGTTTACTCACGAAAACTCGCGCAATTTTATTAATCGTTCGCATCGTAAAAACTATTTTTTACGACGCTTTGACGATCGTGGCTATTTTATAACATACCTACCTATATAGGTTACCCGCATATAAGTGGATGATAAAATAATAATATACTATATATAACATATTATGAATGTCGTTTCAGGCGCCAACTTGCGCGAGGAATTCGAAATCACGGCGCTGTTCCACATTCCCAAGAAGTATCCGTGTTCGTACGCTTTCGCTCAGATGGAACAGGCCAAGAAAGAGCTGCTCATCGACGATTATTCGATAACGCAGACTAGTCTAGAACAGGTACGTACCGCAATAACCATTAACAGAATATTGTTGTTTCGCTCCTACCGACACTATCATTCCTTCAGTTCCTCACAGTCTTTACACACCGAACGTATTTTTGCTAACCATAATATAAAAAATAAAACTAGGTATACAATAAATACTTTTTCCATGTTAATACTATTTAATTTTTTAAGGACCAATTATATTTGTTGTCGTGGTTTCGATGGTGTAATAACCGAGTCGTATGTTTTGCAGGTGTTTTTGAGCTTTACCAGAAATCGTCAACAAGCAATAGCATAACGCACGTCGTCCACGCGCAGCCAGCAGGGTGCCGACTTCAATTCATCCTACGTTCGTTCCCCCCCCCTTGACCCCATCTCAACGCCAACCCCATCCCAGTCCCAATTTTTAACTATAAGTTTCTGAGTGCCATGCCAATGAAAAAAAATAATACAACCAAATAGAAAGAAAACCTAAATCTAATTAACATACCTATTATCATATGTCTTCCCCTCGGAACGGATAGTTGAACACAACATTCCGATGAACTGTTGTTGTAGTTATTGTTGTTGTTGTTGTCGTTTTTTTTTTTTTCGTATGAAGGCTGAATAATTGTATATTTTAAAAAAGAAAGAGATATAAATTCTTTGAGAATACGAAGAAGGATAAGAGAAGAAAAAGAAGATGTTGAAAATTCGTTTTGTAATATATATATAAAAAAATTAAAATATTTATGTGATAATTTATAAATACATTGTGCTAGCGATTTTTTTTTTGCTCACACTCTGAAACCGAATTAAGTATATATAATATATTATAATATATAATATATATATGTATATGTACGTTACTATCGTAGTTTCGGTTCTTTTGTAACATGATTTTATTTTCCTCAAGCGTAATACTATATATATATATGCGTAATACTATTGTTTAAACGCTCAATGTACAGACATATATTTTTGGAAATTCTCTATATATATAATATAAATTTATATATATCGGGTTCAAGACAATGTACCTACCTATTGTTCTTTTTTTTTGTTTTTTTTTTTTTTTGTTTACTCTAGTTACTATAATATATAAATATATTTTAATAATTATCTGTAATTACCATTTAGAGTAGAAACTATTTAATTTATTAAGTATAATCTGTTCAATAGGTTTAAGAAAAATATACCAAAATGTACAGTTACGTTTTTGTATTATTTAGTTTTTGTACCTATTAGGTCGCACCTACTATAGGACCTACATTTAGCACCTATACTCGAAAAGACGATGTAGCTTATTTTTATAATGATATTATTTTATTTTTTTAAAACTCTTTACGGAAACACGAAATGTCGACAAAAAGACCAGTGATTAAGATAATATTTTAATGTTTCAATTTTAGTTTTTTCATCAATTTTATGATTCGGTATATTTCGTATTACATATTGTGTGTTCAACTAGGTTTAAAAAATAAAAAAGTGGGTCGAGGTCAACAAAAATGTTAACAAGCACTTTAAAACAGTTGATTGATTCTGTTGGAAATTTTATGGGAAGGTACCTACGTCATAAAATTTCGCAACAACGTGACACATTATAAGGTGTACAATCATACACTTTAGAGATCTAAATTGTAAATCGATATTGGACCGTTCACGGCAGACAATTTTAGAATCGCTATTGAAAGTCGGACAAGGTCAGAAATTACACAAATTTTATTACTTTTCTCAAGCTTTAGTTATACCCTATGTATATTTTATATATTCTTTATTTACCTACTAAATTAAATGAATATCGATTCATCTGGCTTATAAATTATCTATGAATACAATATTATAATACTGTAATAGTCGAGTTAAAATGTTAATTGATAAATTCCAGTAATACGCCGAAACACTCACTGTGTGTTTAAAAAAAAAAAGACCAATAGTGTTCTCACAATAATTTTTACTCAACATTACAGTTTTTTAGTGCGTTTTTTGCATTTTATAAATTATTTTTTATAATTATTTATTTATTTTGTTTATTATATATAAGAACTCGTAGATTTAATAAATAATGTTGAATCATACTGCCTATGTCTTAACACTTAACCAAATCAAATATTTTTAATATTTGTTTTTAACATAAATATTAACTATCGTAAATTTGGTACGTTTGTATATTTTTTTTTATAAAAGAAACTGTTTTAATTATTAAAATATACTTTATAAAAACATATTAAACTTTCAAATTAATTAAAAATCCGTTTTCAAAACTAAAATCTGTCTACCCGTAATATGGGTAATATTGTTAACTGACAACTCTCCGGTAACCTAACCAAACTAAAAAGTAGTTTGTTCTATATCATGATTTGAACTCAAGTCCTAAACTCTAAATAATAAATATACCTTTAACTTTTTTGCTTAATTATCAATTACACCGCAACAGCAGTATTATCACAGATTAATTAATTTTAATGTGCCTTCAAAGTTCAAACGCCAAGTTGGATATTTCTTGACATAATCGTTATTTTTTCAACTCGAATTTTGGTTGCAATAATAATTTAGTGGTGTGGTGAAAAAAAAAAACAGTGTTTTGTATTATAATATTAGTATAGATATTGAACTGCAGCATATTATTATATGAATTAAACAATCATCTCTGTTGTTGAACTATAGGTTTTCTGTGATTTATTTAAGTACTTACACATGGCAAACGCTCCAAAACATTGTCCAATTAAGGTTGTTGGGAAGGAGGAAAAATAATTTTCAATTGCTATTTGATATACGAATACATAATCGTGAATACTTATATTACAAATGCAAACGGTCTCATTCGCAGATGACGAGAAAACAGACATAATACCATAGCCGTATCACTTTCATTGTACAAAACGAAAAAAATAGGTTATCATATTCTATTACACGAAGCGCCTGAACGATGGAAATAATAATGAAGATAATAACAGTAATAGTTATAATTATAATTATAATAATAATAATAGTAATAAATAATTATATAATTATAATAATAGAATTAATAATATTAATAATAATCGTCGAGTACGCGCACACATCGTAGACGTCGATGGCGTTGCGTTTGGCGTTCACCACATAGAGCATTTATTGGAGGGGTTCATGGGACTTCCGACCGGACATTTCCAAACTTCCGCAAATTCAGGACTGTTTCTCAACGAACCCAACACCCGGGCGAAGCTAGGGCTGTGCTCGTCGTTGCCCAAAATGTCTTTCTTTTCGGATTTCGCATCCTCCGGATTTTGGCACCACACCTGTTGTACAACGACAATACAAATATTATCGTTAGGTATCGATTATGTTTCACATGATATTATACAGTCAAATGACGTCTTAATAATAAGAGTGCATGTTTATAATATTATTGTTATTATTATAGTTTCGTCCGACGAGTAAGTGCCTTTAATATATTTCGAGTAAACTCTGTGAATGCGTTGTATTCTAACACATTTCACCCACTATATCACATCACATGTTTCACATCGCGGTTATAATATAATATTATTATTATTAATTTACATTTTATATTATTTTTATTACCAACGATACGGGAGAAATGTGCTCCCGACACATGGATGTAGCTAAATAGCCTAATCGAAACGCCGTGCTGTAATAATATGATATCAATATCGAAATCATGTAAAATCCTCTGCATGGGCTTGTCAAGAATCTCGTATCGTGTTCGGGGTTTCAACCAGAGCTCAAAAGAATAATGACGCAGACTTTAGGAAATTAAAAATTATTATCTTTTTACGTCTTCAAATAGGAAAGCTAAAAATATGTTATGTTATGTACTTATGTAGTTATGTAGTTGACAATCATTATTGACACTCTAGTGATTCGAATTGAAATTAATAAGAACGCCGAGAATCCCTGAGGACACAAACTTGATATTAAATATATTATTATAGCTCCTATCAATAAAATAAAGCAAAATAATATCGTGGTAACCGATATTCTACCTGCGATTCCGTTAAGGATAATAAGAACAAAAATCATCAGTATAACTTATTATGCGGACTGCCATGGATGAGTGTTCTATTAAAGTCTTAGAGATTTAATAAAAAATGTATAACAATATGTTGTCGACGGCTGTAATATTATTTGTCGTTAATATCTTTCGTAGACTTCGTCTAATCCTTAAATTTATAGAAAAACGTTATGGGCATTGCATATTTTTTCAGTCGGAGGAGGGAGGAGAACAATAAAAGAATAATTATTGACGATGTGATGTGATACATTGAGTGATGCTGTCTAATGAAAGATAAAACTGTGGAGGACAATATGATGCGATCGGGCACAAGTCATTTTCCGGGTCACTCACGTTCGCGTAGGACAAGAAGAACAGCTGGTCGTTGGAGTATTCCTTGAGTCCTGCCAGACGGAATTCTTCGCCGATGTTGTGCGATTTGTACGCCCTCCACGACTGCTTCAGTCCCACGTTGTCGGCCATGTTTTCGGCTAAAGTGTGAGTGCCGTTTAGCTGAAAAACAGTATGAAAAGCGCCGACGATTAGGATGACAGATATTATTATAAATAATGTATACCATGGTAAACTGATAACGGTAACTATGCTATATAATATTATTCAGACGCGGATTTGTAGGCGGGACACGGACGCCGCGGTGGCACCCCTCCAGAAAAAAAGATTTATGTAGTGATAAATATTTTGAGATGTAAATATACTATAGCGACGATAACCCACAACAGTATAATATTATGACACGGAATTGTTGTATTATATTTATGTACAAGTAGGTATTATCATGTCAAACAAGATCATAAAAACGATGACATTATTATCGTTGTCCGTTGTGCTACTAAACATATACCTACATTGTCTTAATATTTCGGTTCGACAAATGTTATAATATTATGTTATCAAAACGACAGAAATCTTACCTGTCGATGAACGCACCGAATTTTATAAACAGTCGATCGAATCTTTGTTTATTCAAACTGTAAAAACATGACGATAAACTAATACATAGGCACCTACCTAGGTTACCGCATTATTACCCAAGTCTATCTTATGCCCATTACTTTCCTAATAGTATACTGTGGACCCACATCCGTGAACAATAATATTATAGTAGAATGTATAGTGCTCACATTGCTGTCTGTGTCCAACACGAACTGATCGTACTGTTCGATGAAACACTGCGCCCGCTTCAAGTACTCTTTCACCGCGTTTTGCGACCATTGCGACGTCTTCTTGCCGTGGATATCGTAGTCTTTACCTGAACAGCGACGACATTAATAGTTTAATGATAATATGCATAATATTAATGTTGTGAAGGGGCACTGTGTCCGCGGTACCGGATCTAAGTCTCAGAGAGCCAGGGTGCATCTACTATAATATCGGAATCCCCCTTAAAAAAATGTCTATTTTTAAGTCATATATAATATAATATTTAATTTAATTTACTTTTGGTATTTCATACTAAAGTTTGTGATAAAAAATTTAAAAATCATTTCCAATAGGTGTCCGAGGATGAAACTGATACCGTGGATAAGTCTAGGAAAATAATCGAAAATGTTGGGTAACGCTATTTATTTTTTCTGATTTCGTTTTTGGTTTTGAATACCGGTTTTTATTTTTTCCGATTTCAATTTTGGTTTTGATTACCGGTATTGATTTATTTCGAATTTGTTTTCGGTCTCTGTATCGATTTCGGTTTTTAACGGTTTTGACCGGGATTCAAAATCGGCATCTACTATCGGTTTCAAGCCCTGTCCATAACAGTTGACAGTAAAAAGGGAGGTGGGTCATTTTTTAAACAATAAAAACTCAGCCCTGGTGAACTCCACCCCCGCCAAATCCAGCCAGCTCCACTTCTTAAAATAACGGAACTAAACGGAAGTGTCAATAATATGTTCGCATTACCTTCGATGTCGAATCCGTGCGAGATTTCGTGTCCGAGGATCGTACCGATGGCACCGTAGTTTACGACACTGTTGCGATGCGTATCAAATAGTGATCGATGGTTTAAGGTGAATCACACGAAACAAAATAATAATAATGTTAAAACATAATATAGGCTTTGAAAAATCTAAATAATAATATAATATGTGGTCGGATGAGTTTCGACTTACTCGACTCCCTTGTAGAAAAACGGCATCTGTAAAATTCCGGACGGAATGTCTGAGGGAAGGCGAACATGAAAAAAAAAAGACGCGATCAAATTTTTTTTACGTCAGGACAATGTTAACTGCACATAATATTATGAGTTTAGATAATATTCTCACTGATGGAATTGTCCATTCGATTGTAATACGCATTGACTTCCAATGGGTCCGTCAAGACTCTGCAACAACGTCGATCGGTCGCAAGGTTTCGAACGAAATAATAATTATTAACTTATATAATCTTAAAATAATAATACTATAATACGTAATGTCGTGTACTTACGTCTTCGGACTTGATTCATCCTCCTCGGTGATCTGTTCCCCCACCTTTCCCAGCACGAAAGCGACTTCGTAGGATTTAATGTCCAACATGGACTGAATGTACTGGCCATCTTTGACTATAACCTAATCGGCAGATGTCATGAAATATATTATTTCGCTTCTAGTCGTTAATCGGACAGTGAAGACTACACTATAATAATATTTGTGGACTAATGTAAGTTGCACCCGATGAAGAGATTAAAAATTGTTCAACCGAAATAATTCGATCATAACTCGTTCGTATAGAATAATCTGTTGTCGCATAACAGTCTGTTGTTGTGAGTTATGGTTACAACCAATTGCAGATTATAAATTATTGTTCAACAAAATGCCTTTTTTATTTACCTAATAATATTTTCTCTAGTATAGATTATGCACTTACTATATATTATGCATTCATACACTGCCACAACGGAGTTTTAAATTTTTATTTAAATTATGTATGTGCGTATTATTTTCTAATATAAAATTATATAATATTATAATTTTTAGAGTTCTTCGTCACATTTATCAACGAAAATTTTGTCAAAAAATGTATTAAAATAGTAGTAAGGGCTGTAATGCATTGGCACTCTTCGGCTAGTGATTGCATTTTTACTGTATTTTTCCGCCGAACTTTTAACCCATAGGATTCTGTTTATTTTTTTAGCATAATATTTTCAAAGTAATTTTTTAGAACATAAATGCATGCATATTATTTCCTGAGACGTTTTAGAGCATCAAAGCCGGTCTCGTTCAACTGATTTAGAGATTATAATATATTATTCACAGTATTCTTACGTAGTCGTAGTCTTTTTCCAACTCGTCCGGCGTTTCAAATATTGTCGGATAACCGACTCCGACTCTCATGGCGTTCGCCTTTAGGGTAGTCACTTTTTTTGTGGCCTCATCCGTCCAATCGGATTCACTTATCATGTCACTGAACGCACCTTGTAGTTGTTTGATCATCATTTGGATCTTGTTCGAGAAATAAAAAAAACATTACTATCCGGTCTATATCTACGTGTAATAATAATAATAATAATAGTAATAAATTCACCTTCGACGTAGTCTCTTTCAGGTTGTCGCGGACGTAGAACTCATAGGCAATGGGGCCCTTCACGAAATACCTGGCCACTGACGTACAAAACTGTTGCCTAAGGCAAACGATACGGGTGAATACATTTTTAACGGCTGTTTAAATATTTCGGAAGAAGCTAGAAAATTATACCTGTTCATTTTTAGCGACAATGGTATTGCTGTAGAGGTAAATTTCGTTGTCAGGTCTGTCATCTGCTTAGTGGTGTGTGGAACTAAAGCCTCCACGATTTTCCACCACAGAAATTGTTCTGAAATAGTTTGTTAGAAAATATATTATGACCATCGCTTACAGACATGTTGTTTCATTATTATTGAGGACTAAAGTTTGTGTGACATGTCTCCTCTATGGAGCTCCATACTAACGGGGAATCAAGTTTTTGTTTATTCATATTATAACAGTAATATAAGAAATTTTGTGCACAGATAACTTTAAAATTATCTAGATAAGCTATATTATCTAATGCATTGAAAATGTATCTAGATAAAAGATAAATTAACCTCTTTTTTATCTATAGATAAAAAAAACAGATAATCATAAAATTTTTAATACCTTATAAATTAAATTATAATGTATACACATATCCACGGAATATCGTTCGTTTATTTATTTATCTTTTTAAAAATAAAAATATAAAAGATCAATAAACAATAAACATAAATAAATAATGTACAGACATTTATAGGAATCTTCTTGAAGGAAAATGTTTAATCGTATAACTATGGTAATAAAATGGTAACAATAAATAGGTATAGGTACTACGTAGGTACATGATATTTGTGGATCCACATAATATACATAACATATACAAACCTATTCGCATTATTAATGTAGTTCGTAAAAAAGGACAAAATTACTTAATAATATTATCGATAACACATTTTTATTATGAATTTATAATGTTCTTTCTTTCGTAATAACGGTAGCTTTCTCTCGTTCCTACCGGTCAACAATAAAACGGGCATACACCTATAATGAGCTCAATTGTGTACATTAAAATATTATGTGCAGGTCCGTATGACAATTTCACGAACTCAGTCTTGAGATTGGTGTTTCAGTGGTCAAAAGTAGAACGATTGAACGCGAATGGTTCGACAATCTATTTCCTTCTTTTGTTCGTCTAATTTACCAGGTATACCTACTTGGGTAAGGTAAAAATACTACTCGTTTCTTATCGTGGATAATGAATTGTTTTGTTTTTCATAATCTAATTAAAATATTTTAAACCCATGTCTACGTCTTGTATAGATTAGAGCGGAGTTAGTTGTTACATGGGTAAGTTGTTACATTTTGGATATCTTGATAACCAATTATGGTAACACTGTGGAAACTCAAGAAACAAATTCCATTATCATTAACCACATATGCTTTGTGATAATATCCAGTATAAATAAACAGTATCAAAAATAATCTTCAGTTTTCTGTTTTTTGCTATCAAAAGTAAATTGTTTTCAAGATTTTCTTTTGTAATTACAACCCACCCCAGTCCCCAATGGAAACTAAGATTATTTTAATACTCAAAATTTGTTTATTATATAGTACTACACCAAATTCTAGTAATATAATTCAATAGTATTATTTTATTCGACAAAAAATAAATTGTGTAAGAAAAAAAACCATACGGGGAAAGTTGTTATAGTCCGTTTAATTATTTGTTATTGTTATAAAAATTCCGATTTTTGTCTGACTCGTCTCGTACATCGCGTCACTCGACACTTGCTCGGTGTTAGCGTGATAACGTGGTGAGCAACCCACCAATCACCTTAATTATGATGCACGAAAAATATTTGATCTCTCTTGGAAGAGTATCCCTAGTAGCATTTTGAAATGATAACATTATAATCACGAATATTATTATTATTATTTTTTTTTTTTTTTTTATTGGATGACCCGTGGCAACATAGGCCATTGGGTGGAGGTGGAAGTGGTGGAACTGTGAGTTTTTGTATTGGATAGGTTTGGTACACGTGTGTGTGTTGTGGCAGAATTTCTAGTGAGGCACCCCGTAGGTTTCTGCCATGCCCCGGGTGGGGGATGCCGGAACTTTTTCTCAGGACACCGTGACTTGCCGAAGAAAAATGCCACCCAGTGGCTGAGAATCGAACCGGCGACGGCTGCACCGCAACCGACCCCTTAGACCGCTCCGCCACCTCGTCCCCCAATAATATTATTATAATGATATAATAATATTTTTAGTCAAACATTTTCTGCCTGGGATAGGTACTGTCATTGTTAATTTTTTTTTTTTTAATAATTTTAATTCAAAATATATAGGTACTGTAACAATGTGCCCTTGTTCTGTAACAATTTACAACACCCTGGGGCAAGTTGTTATAGTTTAACAAGGTGACTAAAAAATATTTATTTTAGTATTAAAAATGTACCTTTTCTGACTTTTTTGATATTTATAACTTTAGTTTTTTCTTATATTTCGAGACGTGTTAAAAACTTGAAATAACTTATTTCATTAAAAAAAAAATGTATATATATACTTACGAATTTCTTCTAGAGGTGTGTCTGATAACCTCCATTGGAGTTCCAAAAAATAATCCTTATCCCGGACCAGCACTATATCGTCCATCGTCCATGTGAAATTTGTTTCCAAGGTAAAATGATCGATAAACGATTCCCAGTCGAACTATATCGAACGGAATAAATACAATTAAAGAGATTTAGTCACACGCTTAAAAAAACACGAAAATGTAATGGATGTCGGGTAGGTACTCGTCTTGCTCATTCGACGACATCTGTGTAAAACCCAGTGAATGGTAATTAATTTAAATTATTATAAACTATAGGTATAGATAGCGATAATTAATCATAATATTGTATTGGAAAAACGATTCAGGGAAGAGCTCGACTTACAATGTCAAATCCCTTATAGTCTTTCCAACATTAAAATAGTGACCAAAATAAATTAAAAAAATTAAGTATTTGATTTTACTGTTTTGGTTTGGTTAAGATCGATTTTAATGTCTTAGAATATTCTCTTATAATATCGTGTTGGACCAAATAACGTCCTTACAAAATTAAAGTCGTTGTTGACTTGAAAACGAAAAACTAAAATCAATGTGAGCTCAGTATTACGCTCCGCTCAAAATCTATAAAATGTTGTGGTACCAATTTCTCATCAAGTGAATCTGACGTGTTCGAATGCATGTACTCATTTAGGTTTCTGGTTGTAATTTCTTCCGGTTTTTTTTCCAAGTCTAAATTTTTCTGTAAAAAATAGCGTATTAGATAATATTTTGGCTGTAACAGAAATAACTGACAAATGTAATGAACTAAAAAACAACTTTTGTTTTAATTAGTATTTAACATTTTATTGTTTGAAATAAATAATAATAATTTTTTTTAAATATATTAGATTAATAATACATTACAGTACATAATCATTATATTTGCTTATAGAAATACACTTTCATAAAAAATAACTAAATTACATTTAAAAATTATGTTTATTTTTTGTACGCAACTGAATACGAATTTATGGTGACCAGATAATTAAGGTCTACTGAAGTGACAAAACTACGACTTAGTATTAAGAATAATGGTCGGAAGTTGATGATCTTAAAACAATTAAAATATTACCTAAACAAATTATGCAATTATGAAGTAAAAATTATAAAAAATTACAAATAATGGTTCAAAATAAAAAAAAAAATTTTTATGTTTAGAAAAACTTCTTTCAAGTGATTGGAGAAAATTTTAAACGAGGCTAATCTTCATCACTGAAGTCATCGGGAATATTCAAAATACTCAATTGAAGTGAAGCTTCTTTGAACCAGTAGGAAATGAGTAAAAATGAAAAAATTTGTCAAAAATGACCTACAACGTAAAAAAATCCAGAAAATACACATAAAATTGAAAAAATAAAAACTAGTTATTTAGATTTGCATGTTATTGAAACACATTTTCAGCTAAGAAAGAATCGTCTAAGAAGTTCCAAAAAAATATGCAAGGTGCATCGACTTCCGAGCCCTAGTTATGTACCTACCATACTTTAGGCCAAATGTATGTGTGGTTGGCGACTCCGCGTACTACAAAAGTCACACGAGATAGCAATAGCAGATGGCGGGATATTTAAATTCAAAGTAACCTGCCGGCTGTCGTCGTCCAACCTAGTTTTATTAATCACATTCCACATTGTGAACTCCATAACTCTATAGAGTTTTAACACTGAGTAAGGAAAAAAACGTTTTAATGAAGTACGCATTTGAAATTCGTAACCTAAAATGTGTCAATTGGCCGACGGCTGCCGGAGGCGAAGTCACCAACCGCATAAAATTCGTTTGGCCCATAATCTTTTTTCTAGTATATTATAAATACATCAAAGTGTATAAAACCTGACTTGGATAATATAACTTATAGACGTTTGAATGGATCGTCCTGTTTAATATTATAGTTTGTGCTATAAATTAGAATACATCGAACGCGTAATTAAAATAATTATAGGTACCTTTAACGTCACTTCCAAAACGATGATTTTGAGGCAAATTCGGTTCAGCGAGGAGATGTTGAAAAATTCGTGAGGGAACATACTTGTGATGACACCGACCATGTATTGGACTTTGGCTAGGACTAATCGAGAGGTTTCCTCCTCTTTGTCAGAGGAAGAGACGTCACGAGGTATCTGGCCACCGACTCGGTTGCGGCGGTGGTCCAACAGTGGTTCAGGCAATGGCGCAACTATGTTCGTCACGGGCCCAACCTGTGGACGAAAACAAAAATTCACTAGTAAAACGAAAAATCGAGCAAAACGTCGAAACCCCCTAGATAAACCGTATTGGCCTCGACCCTTTCGACACGAAAATTATCGATAAACCGTGACATGTTTAGCGATTTTGTGTTGCAATTTCGACGTATGTGTCGACGACGCTTGTACCTATACTAATATTATGCTAACGCGTCGTAGATTAGACAATTAGATATCGAAAGTTAAAATAGCTAAAATAGACAAAATACGCACGCACAAAAAAAATAAAAAATGTGTGACATTTCTCAATTCCGAAAATAAAGCGGGGGAAGTTCGTTGGCGCAACTAGGGGGGTGCAAAAGGGTCTTTAGCGCCCCTAAGTTCTAATTTAGCGCCCCTTGTTTTTTTTAGGTTTAACTATCGTTATTATAGTGAAATACCATAAATTTTATGTTTTTAAGATATAAAATATTATAGCCCCCCCACGTTTTAGAGGTCTAGTTGGGCCTATGGGGAAGGTTAGTGCACTACGGTAGGTGTCTGTCTGTTAATTTTTTTAGAGTTTTATGTACCCATTGGCTTTGTATTTTATTTATTATTTAACTTTATATTTAAACGTAGAAATACATTTTTATAGGCCCAATATTATGTTAATATATCATTCTTTAGGAAATTAAAAAAAAAACTTTTAACTCGACTTACCTATTAAGAGACATAAAACTATAGTTCGACCAGCCGTTTATCACTACCGTGTAATGTCGTTTTATACTCGACACAAACTTTAACCTCATTTATTATGTTTTAAAGCATTATAGATGCGTACGTTCTAATATTACTTATAATATAAATTCTACATTATTATAATGACCGTATAGATACTTCGCGTTTATACTTACAGTGATGATCGTTCGGTTGGTTTTCGGGTTTAGTTCCACGGACAGTTGCAACATGAGATCGACTCCAAGGTACCGCTCAATCAGTGCCAGGCTTCTCGCCACGTTAAACACGGACCCGTTGAGGTATGAGGTAGTCGTAAAGTCCGGAAAATTCCTCGGCAGTCCAACTTTTTCCAGGAACTCAAAGACCGGTTCGTATCCCAAATTGTTTAATGTGTCTGCGGTAACAACCAAACACACACACACACTGTATATATACTATATATATATTGTATTTTATCAGATTAAATCAAAAGTATATAATATAACGGTCGTTTTTGTATTAAAAGGTTTTTCTCTATAAAACCACCGATCAACGACCACCAACAACACAAAATATTAAATGGAAAAATATTAATAGTCATATAATTATGTGAAAATGGCAGTGTTTATTATATGTAGGCCAGTGAAGGAAAAATTATAAATCATATTTGAGGAGCCAAATAAATTATAGTATTTAGGAGCTCTGAGAACAACACGATATATTATGTCAGCGTGGATGAGATGTTGTTTTTAAATATTTTAGTGTTTGTGTGTTCATTTCTATAAAGAATTGGCTTTCTGTTATATTGTTCATTTTAATTCTATGTCATTAGATAACTACTTTAATTCGATCTGAAACCGATTGATTTATGGTCTTTGAGGATTAAGAGTATACAGTAAAATAATTCTATCAACATTTGAGAACCAACCTGAAACAGGTTGATTCGTGGCATTTTGGTCACCCAAGTGAGGTAGTAGAATATTTTTTACAATTTTGTAAATATTCATAATGCAATCAGGAACAGTTCAGTTACAGAAAAATGAAATATAAAAATGTTTTTAAAAGTTTCACCCTCCTTGAAAACGAGGTACGATCACCTGAGACCTGTGCAGCCTGGAGCGAGCCACGTAAAATTCAATACATGAAATCGACCAACTCTATTTCACGGTTCGTATTTGACTTTTTTTTACGTCTTTTAAAAAAGTGGAATGTTTAATGCTTGAGCTCCGTAAATACAATTTTCGTTGTGAAAGTATATTAATTTATTATATTTAGGTACCAGAGACGAGATTGTGTTAAGGCATTATTCATCGCCATAACACTATCAATATATTATTATTTTTCTATGATAATATGCTATATTTTCCACTTTATTACTGCGGGGCTTGAGGAGACAAGGGAGTGCTAATAATAAAATATTTTATAACGTTTCTAAACGATAGTTATATTTTACAGATTATCATAAAAGAGACGTGTAATATAGTAACGCCCCTCCTCCCCCCCCCCAAACGGGCAAAGCGTGTCCAACAGTACCTCGACCCTCTCTCGATCTAGCGTGGGTGCCCCTCGGTTCGTATCTTCGTATATTATCTTTCGTATATTGTACGAGTGTTACACGAGACTTCGAAAAATACTTATTTTCTAGTGTTTTTATATTTTAGTAAGCGACTGCGTAAGACGGCGCATACGTATGTTATTATTATTTATTTCTCTCTCCACACATTCGTTATTAATAGAGACAGTTTTCGTAATATTCGGCGGACTTTAAGTGGATTTGGTATAGCCACTGCTGCGTGTTGCCAGTTCCGAGAACGTTAAATTAAATAGCCGCAAATATATAAATATATATATATGTATATATACTATATATAGGTACACCCGAAGATCAAAAGAATACGATCCCAAATCAGCGGCGGTGCCTTGTATACAATAACAGTATAGTATTTTACGTTTTTACAGCATTATATTTTTTTATCATGATAAATATCATGTGTCGAGTAAATCACTGCTACCCCCAAAACGTTTGGAGATGCCGCCGCCCTCATAAACGCATTGCACATTATACAATTATCAACGTGAAAAGGGGATGGATTCCTGTACTCGAGGGACACGTAGGCCTGCGTTTAAGACAATAAAATATAATATTTCTCTTACCTGTATCCAGACACGTCCTATAAAGATTTCTCGCTTGTTTTATCGACTTCAGATCGCTTTCAAGGTCCGGTTCTTCTAATATCTCTGAAACAAAAAGAAAAAAGGTTATATCTTGAAGCATTGTGTATAATATTATTATTATCTGCTCAACACAGTCACGGCGATCAACAATAAAAACAATAACGTTGGAAAATAATATAATAATTAACATATAGCAATTAACGACGATTGGGTTAAGGCATACGAAAGGTAGTTATTTTTTAAAAATGTATTTATTTATTTATGATTTACGAGCTGAACCCTAGGAACACAATACATTGATATCTATCTGTCTAGAATTTAGATTGAAACACATTAGTAATAATAATCGGTAACGAATGTCCAACGAGGTTATGAACATTTGAAAATAGTTTTAACTTTCAACAAGTTGGCGATAGAGTTATTATAATATACTAAATCGTATTATTTATGACGCATAATAATAATAGGTATTATGTATAATGTATATGCTATACAGAAATCGATTTTTTACGACCAAGTATAATTATTGTAATTCGTATAAATGATTCAAATGAAAAAAAATTCGCTTAACTATCCCATATTATATAATATTTCGTAATTATATTTAAACAAATTTAATATTATATACTTTTCGATTTCAATTCGACTAATGGCATTAACATTATTATCACGTGTTCGTTTGGACTTGAGATTAACAACTATGAATTAAGAGACGGTTTTATCAGGACATTAATGTCTGATGTTAACATTATAGACAGCGTTTCCTTGCTTTATAGAAATTAAGTTATCGAGAAAATCAGATAAATATCAACTAGGTACATAAATACTTCATTAAATCGCTCCTGAATCTAAAAAAAATAATACAAATCACTAAACCTAAAAAATAGGAAACTGATCATTCACATAACATAATATACAATTCAGTTTAGTGAAATACTATAATATTATAACGTTGAATATTATATTCCTCTAAGTATAATATACGAATTCTCTTTTTACGAAGTTTTGGAAGCTGCACAAGGGAAAAATGAATAGATACCGTTAATAGTTATCATAAAATCATAACATTTAAATTCCTAAGGTTAGGTATATTTTAATTATAAGTTACACGTTCAGGGTATACCAGGTGATCCATTTAAAACACTCATTAAATATTTTGTTTAAGTAATTTCAAATCACTATAAAACAAAAATGTTCGAAAAATTATAGTATACAATTATTTTTTATCGTAATAATTTATTACTTATAATGTTTAATTTAATTTTTCCATGACAACATTATTAATTTCTCATTCTAAAGCAAAATGTATTTTTGAGAAAGAATTTCAACTCAAATCGGATTTTGGATTTGTCTTATTTCCGTCTTACAAACGAAAAACAAATCAAAACGTATAGCAGTTCCAATTTTGTTAGGTTTGCTTATATATTTAAGTCAATATTGACCTATAAATATTATGAAGGCTTAAGGTTAAAACATTATCTTTTACGATATTCCAATTTTAAAGTGAGTTGTCTGTGAGTTTTTAAAATATTATTATTAAGCGTCGATCGATTTTTTCTGTAATTTTCAGTTTGCAATACAAATTTTTCACATCGCAGGTATCATTATAAATAAAATACTACGAAATTCGGGAAAGGAAAAATGTTTTTTGACACGACCACAGCTCGGTGATTTGTGATTTCGATTCCTACCCCTAATTTTTTTTGGCACGGTTATTATTATATATTTTTATTATACGCCCACTTATGTCGTCGTGTGTAAAACAATAATAATAACAATGTATATTATACGCCACGTTCGTATTATTATTATTATAATTGTTGTCGCGTAACTATATATTATTATAATACTCACTCGTTACTGTTGCAGCAATGAGTCGCGATCTTTCGACGAACCAATTGTTGGGCTTTCCGGCTTCCAGCTGATGGCTGAAGTGCCATTTTCCGCACGCGAATTCGTAAAAATTGTCGCAAGGTTCAACGTCCACATTTATCGACCTCATAATAGATTCGGCTGCGTATTTTCATCGTGCACGGGGTAAACAACGACGACAGTAATAATTGCAAACACAAAAAATTAAAAAAAAATCATAAAACACCATGGAAAACCATTATGAATAAAACCACCACGAACGACTCGAACTATTATCATCCAGAACGAATTGTGGTGGGGGTTTGGGGTCATAATATCTGCAATTTAACCCACAATTATATTATTACTAGGGGACGGAAGTCGACGATTTTTTTTCTTTTTTGGAACTGAATATGTGTTTCAATAATTGTAGTTCATTTGATTTTGACAACATAGTATAATATGTAACATAATATGCTCTAAAAGTACAATGCAATAATTTAAGTAATTTTTATTTTATAAATTTAAAAAAAAAAAATAAAATATTTTTCTTAATTTTAAACCATTATATATTTGGAATTGTTAAGGTCATTTTATGTCATATTGGCATAATTTTTTTAGGTCATTTTTTAATTGTTTTGATTTCATCGACTTCCGAGCCCTAATTATTATTATCGTTTTGGGTCACTTTTTTTCGGAATAAAATTCATATTATTATTATTATATATTTTATATCACATTTCACCACCGTGACTATAATTGTTGTTCCATACTACGTTTTCTTAATCTGAACAAGATTCCAAGACTTAGTGCCGATTAAGCTGACCGTGACATGAAACTCTATTTTCATCGGTACAATAATAATATTATATTATACTTTATTTAAGTATTTGATGCAAACCTGATGTTAGACACTCATCACTCGTACACGTCCTGTTTATAACACCTACAACAATAACGAAAACATATATTTTGTACCCACAATAAGACACTGTTATTGTTAACTGCACTATATTATAATTAGGGCTGTGAATTGAAAGCACTTGGAATGTAGAAATATGCACATGCATTAACCTAACCTTATATTATAACTTATGTAAGTATAAAATACACTATGAGTATTATACTAATATGAATTATTATATTTTAAAAAAAATATAAAAAGCTTCAAGTGTAAACACTATTTTAAGTCGAATATATTATTAATTAAGTGTGCAGTGCACACCGAGCTTGTAAAATACTTAATAAGAAAATTCAACAATAAACAATAATTCATAAAATGTGAGTAAAACGATTTAATCAACGGAAATTATTAAAATTATCAAAAAAAAGTAAGAAAATTGAAAAATACAAGAAATAATGAAATAAAGACCTAGAAAGGCCAAAAGTCGAAAATTGCAAAAAATTAAGTTTCAAAATTGAATTCATTCGTATCTATTTCAAATTCTGGAAGCTACGTTTCATAGGCGAGGTAAAAATAATGCCTTTTCTCTACAAATTCACTGCTCTAATTATTATTATCATGTGACGGGTTATAAAATATTTATTTTATGTGCACCGATCAAAGAGTGCCGATTTTTGACTTGCCTCCTCGAATTTTTATGACCGTCAGCACCAAACCGGTGAAGCCCAGCACTGCGATGAAGGCAATTATACATTTTTCTTGAACGCTTTTGTCGCGGAACACGTCTTGGAGTTTCCTGTCGAAGAGATGCATCTGATATTAAGTTTTATTGAGGGTGGTCAAAAAATTGTCTAGGCCACCAAACGTAACCGCCGCTGTTGACGGTCAAAATATATGATGTGATACACAGCTATTATTTAAAACTGGATGCGAGTGCACTATATCGGAGAAAAGCGAAACGATTGATTGTTTTCCACACTACGTAATAATTTTCGTGACAATCAATTATGATATACATTCGGTATGGGAATTAACTCGATTCGTATTTGACATTATGATTACGGCCTATCCATAATTTCCCGAACGTTATTATAATATCAATTAACTAAATTATTTCTTTATCGCCGATAATAACCTCTATGTGTACAAAACGATCGACCGAGCACATTATGCTCCCCCCCACTTTAATCATTAAACAATGAGGTTAATCAAATTTTGATATTTACTACACCTACTATACCTATTCTTAAAATCCAAATTTTAAAATAATACAATTTTATATTCTGGAGTTTCCAGGGGCCTGAAGCTATACAAACGAGAACATCCGTTTTTTATTGTAGATTGTTGCCGAAGACATTTTTGACAAGTTATTAAAAGCAATGTTCTAATAAGGACAATAATTACCCTAAATAGTTATGGTATAAAATCAAAAATAAAATACAGTAGAGTCACGATAACACAAATTGTTTTCTTGCCTTTTGAAGTGTTTTTAAGTTGTGTTTGAGGCATTCAAATGGAAAAATACATAATTCAAATTTATTTGTGTTCGCCTTGAGATTAGAGTTATCGAAATTCAATTGTAGTTGGTATATTTTGTTTAGTACCCACAACTGCAGTTATTAAGTTCGAAAACATATTCACAAATTATAAAATGCTACCTAGTTTATCATTATTAATAATTACTATAATTTTCATATTATCACGGTATAAAAACTATTATCCCCACTCACTACATTAAGTTTAATAATTCAGAAGTTTATCACTCGAATATTTCGATGTACATAGACATAAATATATTTTAAATAAAAGATAATAATATTTTCTACATGCACAGTAAAATGTATCGATGTCGTAAGTATGTGGTCACTTTAAAGTTATAATATATTCCAAAAATCATAATTTGAATAAAATATCCTCTATTAAAGGGAAAAACGGGAGACTGGTGGCCACCCAATTGGTATGCAATGGTACAGAAATGCAATGGTATTCTAGTCTCTGATCGTCGGCCTCGAAGTTTCCCCAATAATACGTAGGTAGCACAAACGAATCAGGGTTAAGTTAGGTTAGATTATGCTCGATAAGATTCATATTGTTTACTCACGAGAAAGGCTTTTGCTTCCGGCAAACATCATTAAACGCCGATCACGTCGGTCGGTATGAACTTATAACCGTATACGATCATAAAAAAATTTTTCATATTAATGTATTGAGTGAAATATATTTTTGTTCCAAATTATTCGTGTGATCGCTCAATAAAAACATAATACTATTATTACAACGAATGGTATTTTTTTTTCATCCATAATAAGGCGTTGTGCAATTTTACATATTATTTGAGATGTGACGAGATTATCATACAACATAATATTATATTATATTACCTGATATGATCGTTCCTATAAAATGTATGTACCCACATATTTTAAATATTATTGTAATGAATATCGTACGATCGGTAAGTCGAATCGTTTCGATATTAGAACAATACGCTTATCGAATATTATAATATAGTCGAGACTCGAGTTTAAAAACAACAGCACATAATTGTTTGATATATTTTATTAGATATTATAACTATTACGATCATTATATTCATTATCGATTACAATAATTAATAATAGTATTATGTCATTTTCACGACTGAATGTTTTAATTTTTTTTTTCATCCGCATTATTTGTTTTCTAATTCATAAAGTTGTATAATGTGTGCGCATAGTGATATATTTTTTAATTAAATTCGATATTAATTCTCTCTTCATTGCTGCAGCAGCAATGTGTGACAGAGATAATAGAACCGTTTAAATTGTTCACGTATACATTTTATAATAAAAATTAAAGATTTGTTCTACAAATAAAATACAAAAAAAACTATAAACCTTTCCGATAAACATATTATTAATGGCAGCAGGTAATACAACTGTAGATATTGATTTTTTTTAGTTGTAGCCTGTAGGTGCCTATGCTGATATTGATTTAATCAAATCATGTGTAAAGTTAAAAAGATACAAATTCAAAGCTTATAATTCATGTTACTTTTAATTTGTTGTGGGTAATATAAGTTAGTAATTATCTATTATACACCTACAACTTATAAATGCATATTATTATTGTAAACGGAGTTGATATCCGTAATAAAGATTATTATTATAAATTTACACGTAGGGCATTTGTGTTAAAATATTCTGAGGGGTAACCCAGCTGTTGCCACTTCAATCGAGTACATGTCTTCAAACACTTACAAACAAATAAATAAGAAACGACCGTTTAACGCTGGACATTAATTATTGTACATAAACTTTTGAAAAAACGTACGAAAAAGTCGTTAACGGTCATCACTACATAGTAATAATATGATAAAATAAAAATGAAATAGTACCTAAATCGTTTGCAACATTTTACACTGTGAGTATAATATTTTCAGTAACCCACAGTTTTATGAATACAGTGTCCCATAATTATGGCACACCATTTAAAAACTTTTATTTAGTTAAACAGACTGCTGGAAATCGGTAACAAATAAAAATGAATTATTTATTATATAATGACAGTAAGTTGTCAGTAAATATTATATTATCAATTAACAATTTCTTAGATAAAAAACATACTATAGTAAAATCAAAATCGGGACTATATCTTGATATCGTTTAATTTTGATTTCATAACGATTAATAACGGAAAAATAATTTTGTTTTTCAACCCTTAAAATCGTAAAAAACAATAAAGAGTGTTTCATTAATTTAATGATAATTTATATTTAAGTAAAAATTCGGGTTGTGAATAATACGATGTGGTAGAAATTCGAAACGTTTCACAAGATCAAATATTTTATATGTTTGAGACAACGTTTCCGTTGTTTGTTTTCTGTTAATACCATAACGGAATAATATAATATTTTACCTTCGTTAAGCCCTGCAGAAGTCATAGGTATCTGTAACGATAAAATCTCGATTGGGACCCGACCAATGAGATTTCAAAACTTGTCTAATGTGATCGTGTGCAGTGTAATAATAATAATAATAATATGAGCTGCAGTAACCATCCATTCACACAAGTACCTGTGCTTCCGAGACGACACCGAGACGAAACCTACATCGCCACCGTTGGGCTGCTGCTGAAGCTGTGACTGTTGCAGGGCCGGCGGAGCCATTGGTTGATGGGCCTGCCGCACTTCCGGTCTGGCTGCAATGGGTGGCTCGGCGTTTCCGGCGACAACTCCTACGGTCTGCTGCTGCTGCTGCTGCTTTTCCGCCGACCTGTGATAGTCGCGCAGATAGTGGTTATCGGTGATCACATGCGCGACGCCGTCGTACTCGCTGTCGACGACCGACATTTTCGACGTGAAATAATATTATATTATATTCTTTTGTCTGATATAATATATTATTATTTTAACGATATCGCAGACGAGAGAAGTCGTGTTACGACATTGTATTATTACAATTTTCATTGCTGTTATCGTCGTTGATAAAACTTATAGAGCGGTCAATGAAGCCGCTGCAAAGGTCCCGTCACACGAACCCAAACGAATCGTCGCGAACCGGATGCAAGAAAGTTGCTGCACAGTACGTCGCCGGAATCTTATGCATGTCATAATGTGCAACACGATCGTTCGGTAGTAAAACGTGTCGCTACCATGCCACGCGCGTACGTATTAAATAAAAATGGCATTATAAAAATAAAAAAAAACCACCCTCTGCGTGTGTCCGAAATATCAATCAATCGCGTCCACTCGCCATCACACGCTCACACCCCTCGCCTCCCTCACATACCTCACCACGTCGACCGTGACCGCCGCAAAACTGGGACTTTAGCGGCACGTAACGAAATTACACGTACCGACAAAATAATAGTATATAATACATATTAAATAAATGAAAAAAAAATATAATAAAATACGCATTTTGATTTTGTCGAAATATGAGGAACGAGATAAATGCAGTATGAAATTACCAATAATATTCCCATACCGAGGTCACTAAGTCTCTGTACCGTCCTTTGATTATTTTTTGATTGAGAAACCCAAAGTTAGTTTTTACGCAAGCTCGGTTTCGAAAATCTTGAAGAAGCATCTTGAAGCTATGAGTATACGGCAAGTTTGAAAAACAATTTTTTCATTTAAAACACAAGCAGACTGCAGAGGTATAATATAGTTTATCAAAATAATGAATTTTTTTCAAATAATATTTTATATTACTTCCGTCAAAATTTCCCACTAAACAATTATTGTTACTGTTCGTGTTTGCAATAATAACTCGTAGTATTTGTGTATAATAATATATTGTATTATTGTTTGCATTATACTTAGAATGTTATGCAAAAGTATGCAATGTATAAATTATCTAATATTTTATAATATGAATACGAGTCGATTCGTATGGACATTAGTACCTAACCCATTCGCCTGATGATACAGCCTAATAAAAACATATCAAATCGCGTATTTCAATAGTCCTAGCACTGCAGTACATATATATTATGAGTATAAAAAGATAGAAAAAAAACTCGATGACAATTAATATTTGAAGGGCCGATGATAAAAATATTGTGATGGACCTCCACCGATCTACGATGAAAAAAAAATTCGATTTGTGGGTTCCGTTTGAGAAAGGCCGCCTTAAAGATTTTCCGAACAAAAATACAAATTCTAGTTTGTAACAATAATAAAAATGAATAAGCGTCATGTACGAAAATTATTACGTTTTCGCTGAATATATACAACGATATAAATATTATAATATATATAATATTATTCATCGATTGTCTTTTATCTTTACTTCAAAAGAGACCGAAAAAGATTACCTTGTAAAAGCTCTATACTATTATAATATCTCAACCGTGCATTTATTTGCAGAGGCCATATTATAATAATTGTTATGTATGTAATTATTATAAAACAAATAGATAGCCGACACTGTGTTAATGTCTCATATATGACATTTAAAGTCTGCCAGTCGTATTATGTCAAGAGGGAATAATACAATTGACTAATCCACGAAATATTTAATTACGTCACCAATAATTATATATTTTACGATGACATCACAAATTAATCTTGACTCGACGAGGATAAACCCGACGTTGTTATTAATCTATCATATTATATATTTCATGGCATGGTCATAAATGACGTGGATCAATTAATCGTACTTTGCCCTCTTACAGTATATTACAGCTGCCGACTTCAATACACTCATCGAGTCATCAATTGTCTTAAATAACTAAGGCAGGGGCGCAATTTTCAGGGCATATGCAGGATCACATTTAAGGAGGGGCGCTGGGTACAACTGCCTTGGGCGCCAGTATTTTAGGGGCCCCAAAATTTTGTGGTCAGAAATTTGTATATTTGTGAATTATTAAAATTGTATAATTTTAAGTATATTAATAAAAGTATTAATATAATATAATTTAGTATAATAGTATTATATATTATATAGTATTATGCTGTTTCAAATGTTCTAATTAATATTAATTTGCAGTTGTATGTAATTTTATTTTATTTATTCATGAAGTACCTACTTAAATATGTTAAAAAAAAACAACTTATATTATTTTAAGCAAGGTTTAAGTGACATAAATTCAAATGTATCTTTCCGGAGAGAGGATCAAGCAATTACTAAACAATATTTTTAAAAAAAAGCACACATTGTAAAACAAATATTCTTTTCTGTGCTCAAAATCTAAAATGTTAATAAGGATCCATTTGACCAACTCCCATATTTTCCGTGGGTAGGCCCCTTAGGGGGGAGCAATTTTTTTTCACTGGGGCTTAAGGGGCGCCAATTTTTTTTGCACCTGGGCGCAAAATGTCTAAATGCGGCACTGGGCATACGACTTTTTGACTGCACTTTTTTCTTCTCGTCTCATTATTTATTGGCCAGCTATAACATTTTTAAACGCACTGATGGCATAGTATGTACAGAGACAATGTGCATTTAATATTTATTAGTGACTAGGTACTATAAATTGGTATGCATGAGCATGACCGATGCTATTTCCAACTTACAATTTTTTTTAATCCATTAAAATATTAAATAATGTATAACCCTTCTACTCCAGTAGGCACATACATAAAACACTCGTATTTACTTCGGTGATAAAAACTACGGCCCTCAGCCTGCTTCAATATTAATACACCTATATTAAAAAAACTCAAAAGGCGCCACTGATTATGTGAAATAGTCAATTTCATAATAAACTATTTTTTAATTAATCTGAAAGTCAGTAATAAAACAGTTGTAGGTGACGTACAAAAGTATAATGTAGTGTGAATAAATTAGGATACCTAGGTTATTTTTAAAAATGTAATATACGTCATAATAATATTATATATCAGAGGTAAGGCCACATTGGTCATATTTTTATACTTTTTGATAGTGTTATCTCTCTATAGTTATAGAGAGTGTGTTTCAACGCAAATTTAATTTTTTTCTGAATGTCCTAAAACAATGACTTCCTAGCACAAAATTCGTTTAACATATAAGAGAATTAAAAAATAAAACTTTTATTTTGAATTTTTTTGTTATTTTTGAACACTGACAATTTAAGTACATTTGTATGGTTTCTAAGGCATTTTTTTCTTATTTTTTCATACTTCATAGTTTTATAAGAAAATTGAATGGATGTTTCTATTTTTATACCTAATGTATTAAGTGGTTTACACAATATTCAATTAGTCACGAGCGTCCCTATCTTCAGAAGCGCGGTGATTAACCACGTGAAATGAAGTGTTTTTTAACTTTTTTATTTAAGTGCATTAAATTGTATTTTTTTAGGTAATTATTTTGGTTTTTAGAGAATTTAAATCCGTTCCCTAATTATTGCATTTACCTATGTTGAACTAGGGTTACTGACTTTCCAATTAATTGACACAGTATAGTAATGATTAAACGATTTTTTTTTTTTTAATTTTGGTAGTATAACATAGTAACCCTAAACCGGATGATAGAAAAAGAACATATTGTGGAAAACGTCGTGTGAGTAGCTAACACAATTATTATTTTTTACCAAAGGCTTGTTCGTTTTTATTAAAATCAGCAAACTCTTTTTACAATCGTTTTCTCTATCGTATTATTGGTTTACCGAGCCGATGAACACATGACTATACCTATAGGTATTTATTACTACTGTTAATAAACTGTATTTAGCTTTATGAGTTTTCCAATCGAAATCCACCGTAGGTCATTGACATTATTGTATAGGTAATATGTACCCATCACATATGTGTGTATAATAATATATAGATAGATAGTCGCAGTCAAAAAAAAAAAATCCAATTGATTAAGAAAATAAAAAAAAATATTTTATATACATAAACATTTTGTATTGCACTTGTTGACATGACAACGTATTTTTCCTCGATATTATAAATTATTATACCTATATGGATTTTAATGCTATTCATATTTTAATTGTTGCTATGATTGTATATTTTAGGCGTATTAAATTGATTAACAACAAATAATACGTGAATGTATAGGACGTATACTGTGCAGTGTTTATCAATAATTAAATATTTTAAAATTAATTGATTCAATTCGCAACAAATTTGTTTTTATTAAACTTCGAATTAATCAGTTTAAGCGGTCAGAACTTTCATATAATATTTTGAGCAAATGAAAATGAAAAAAAAAAAATTCACATCAACCCTAATGAATTATATTAATAACAATTTGTTATTCGTCTCTAAAATATATAGTACGTTTATCGTACTAGAGATATTTTTATTTAAGACACAAAAATCTTAAAATTGTTTTTTTTTGTTTTTATAATTTTTAGTTTATCGTAAATTAACATATTTATATTTTTAAAAATCAGTGATGGTTCATAATTTAAAATTGAATTAAGATTACCGAACTTTACGGTGACCAAAAAAAAAAAAAAAAATGTTTTTTGTTATAAACTTCTATTAATTTATTTCTTAATAATTGAACTATTGTTGTTATACCAAGAAAATATTTGTCCTCGTTAGATAAAATGTTGTATGCACTTGAATAAACAACTGTAGGTTAGCGTTAAGATTATTTTGGACCAAAAAAAAAAGTAATAATAGTTTTTTACTTTTTAATGACTTACGTTTATTGACTTATCGTAACAGTATTTACGTAAGTATAATATGATATCATTCAATGATTGGTATTATATTTTTCAATAAAGTCACGACCTACGGACTTCCGGAGACGAGTAATTAACATAAAATAATCAATTACTAGAATATATTGGAAAATAATCGAGTGAATATTATAAATTACCTACAGTGTAATGTTTATCATTTTTTTTTCTAAAATATACTTACCTAAATAATAAATAGTATACAACGCCAAGGGTATCTAC